GTTGCAGATCGCACAGTTGACGCAGTTGATTTCGGCCTCGCCCCGAGCATTTCGGAGTCTGGTTGCGTTTTTGCACACATGAGGCCCATGGTTGGAATATCTGAGGATTGCACTGGGTCAGAATTGTTCAAGGCTGCGCCTCTTGAGACTACCCAGTTGTTCCGCCCGCTCATTTTTAAGTCAGTTGTGTCTCTGCAGCCGCCTTTCCAATGGAAAGGGGGGCACTTGTTTGAGATCTACAAAGGGAAAAAAGGGCAATGACCGAGATCCCGTCTTACAGGGACGTGGCGATTTGTGAGGCGGCGTCCAAGTCGCTGTCCCTCCGCCTGCGGTCACGTGGGATGCCCGCCTTTGCGGCGACGAGTTCCAATTTGCAGTTTGGAAGTGGTCTCAACGGAGGGTCAACGGAGTTTGTCCACTTGTACATGGTGGCGTGCATGGACGTTGCCAGGGCGAAGAAGTTATCCTTCGGTGCTGTTCGTTGAGTTGCAGACGGCATCTGCTGGCATTGCGAGGCTTCTAGCTTTTCCCGCGCCGCCGGCGTCAATGGATGCACTTGTCGCCAGACTCTTGGCTGCGGGATTTTCTGCCGAGGACGCCGCGGAAATCGTTGAAGGCCTCTGTGCCTGCGAGCATTGGACCGCGAGCGGAGGCGCGACGCAGTATCTCGCGATGCTGAGTAAGCTGCACAGACAGTCCTGGTTCGCTATGGAAGGCGTCGCGGGGTGCGTGCAGACTACATCTGGGAATCTTGCTGGTAATGCCTTTGGGGACTTTGTGTTCCTCCTTGCCTTCAGTCGTTGGCGAGCGGGTCCAAGTCCCGAGCGGGTTGTGCCCGAATGCGTTTTTTTTTTTTTTTCGTGGTTTGGCGTTGCTTTCGCCCGTGGATGCAACGATATGCAGAGAAGATGCTCGCGTGGTGTGACGTGCGTCCTGTCTTGATAAGCGCGTGCGTTGATCGTGGTGAAGTGCTGCAGTGTTTTGCTAGCCGTCGTTCTCAAGGGTCGGTCGTGGTCGATCGCTTCCTGCAATTGACGTGGGGCGTTGATTGGTTGCCGGGCGATGGCTCTGTAGGGTCTAGATGGATGGCTCGCGGTGGTTTTCGGGGCCGCGAGATTGTTATGGTCATTGCTTGGCCGGTTATTTGGTGGGGCCGTCTGGTTGGATATGCAGGTCCGTCGTGTCCATGAGGGTTCAAACGGTTTTGGCTTTGTGAAGAAAAGATTCACCCATGGTAGCGCAGCGGTGGCTCTCGCTGCGCCGCCGACGCGCCTTGGCTGCTGCAGAGCAGGCGAGCCGGGGGGCTCTCGAGCTGCGCCGAGCGGCGCTGATCGCAGCCTGGGCTAGCCTTGCGAAGATGCTCGGGCGGGCTCGGCCTGGGCTGCTCCGGGCCACCGCCTGAACGAGTTAACGAGTTCAGGGTGCTTGGGGGGCGCCCGGGCCGCGCTGAGAGGCAGAGGCAGTGATGGCGGAGCAGGTGCTTGGAGATTTGCGGGCTCAGATGCATGCGACGCAGCAGGAGCTCATCGCGGCGCGAGGTGAGGCCGCGCAGGCGCGGCGGGCAGCGGGAGAGGCGCGGGCGGCTGCGCCAGCGCAGCGGGAGGGGGCGGCGCCGGCGGCTGAGCGGTGGGCCGCAGAGGTTCGGGCGATAGGCAGGCCCGAGCATTTCGACGGCGCGAAGTGGCGGGGCTGGTCGGTCGTGTTCGGGGCGCGCGCAGGGGCAACCAACCCTCGCGTGGCGGAGGCGCTCAAGAGGGCAGCGAGGGCGGCGGCGCCCATGCTCAGTGCGACCCTGGGGGGCGACGACGTGGAGATCAGCCGCCAGTTGCACTACTGGCTTGTGTAGACGTGCAGGGCCCAGGCCCTCGTCGTGGCGCTAAATTCGGGCGCGCTGGAGGGCCTGGGGGCGCGGCGGCAACTGAGCCGCCGCTGCGGGCCTCAGGTGCGCGCGAGGTACGCGGGCCTCTTGACGCAGTTGCTCAGCTGGGACTTCGGCGGGGAGCTCGCCGCGAGGATGGAGGCCTTCGGGCGCGAGATCTCGCTCTACGAGGGTCAGGCGGGCGAGCGGCTGAGCAATGCCATCGAGATCGGGGTCGTGCTGCAGAGGTTGCCAGACAGCCCGCTGAAGCAGCGCGTGATCTTGAGCGCGGAGAGGCTGGGGCAGTGGGTGCAGTTCCGTGGGGGGATTGTGAGCGCGCGCCGCGCCCAGGCAGCAGCGGCGGCGACCCCCGGGGGACCGATGCCGATGGAGCTCGGGGCCTTCGGGGCCATGGGCGGATGCGAGGGTGGTGAGAGGGGAGACGGCCGCGGCTGCCCCCGGCCTCCGAAGCCGGTCGGCCCGCGCCGCAACTGCGGCCGCCAGGGGCACCGCATGAAGGACTGCTGGTTCGCCGACAAGGGCAAGGGCCGTGGCGGCGGCGGCGGCGAGGTCAGCAAGGGAGGCCGAGGCGGTGGAGGAGGGCCCGGCGGCGGCGCTGGCGCTGGGCGCGGCCCAGAGCAGCGCGCGTGCTGCAAGTGCAACAAGCTGGGCCGCATCGCCGAGGGCTGCAAGCAGCGCGTGGTCTCGGCTGTCGAGGGTGGCCGTGGGCCGGAGCCTGAGAAGGCCATCCGCGGGCTCTCCCTCAAGTCCCTGAACGCGGGCGACGCTGTGCAGGAGGCCTGCGACCTGCTCCAGGACAACGGGATCGTGAGCGAGGAGCTCTACGGCAAGCTGCCGGAGTTGGTGGCGGTCGCGCGCGGCCCTCGGAAGCTCCCGATGGGCGTCGACTCCGGCGCGGCGACGACGGTGATGCCCAAGGAGAGCTTCACGGACTATCCGTTGGTGGAGAACGAGATGAGCAGGAAGGGCGAGGGCTACCGCGCGGCGGACGGTGGCTGGGTATCCGGCTGCGGCGCGCGCGAGCTCGTGGGCGAGATCACCGCCGCGGGCGGCGCGCGCGTGGTCGAGGGCGTCAAGGCGAGGGTGGCCCCTGTGACAAAGGGGCTGGCCTCAGTCTCGGAGATGGTCGATGCAGGGCGCGCGATCGTCTTCGGCTGCCGGCGGAGCTTCGCGAGGAACGAGAGCACAGGGCAGGATATCAACTTCGTGAGGCGCAACGACGTGCGAGATGGAGCTGGGCGTCTACCCTTGCGCGAAGGCGCGCAGGGTGCTGGGCCAGGGGCCGTCGGGTTTTACCAAGCAGGCCTGGCCGCTGTAAGCCCGGCACTCGCGGAAGGCAGTGAGGTCTGCCCGTTGCGTGGGGGTGGAGACTCCGAGCTCCCTCCAGTCGTCGGGGGCCCCTACGGCGAGCAGCCTCCCCCGGCGCGGCCGGGTGAGGACGGCGAGCAGCGTCCCCCGGCGCAGCCGGGTGAGGGCGGCGAGAGCGATGCGGGGGCCCCGCTGATCAGGGCCGCGAGGAGACCGTGGGGGCCCACGGAGGAGAAGGTGGACCACGAGGTGAGCCACGACCCCTCCCAGGCGTGGCGCCGCCACTGCGTGGCGGGCCGCGGGCGCGCGGCCCCGCGTGAGCAGTGCGACCGCGCGGAGGGCGGAGTGCCCATCGTCGCGATGGACTACGCGTACTTGGGCGGCAACGAGGACGGCGAGGACGGCTCCTCGCCGATCCTGGTGGTGCGAGATTCGGCGACTCGATGAACTTCGAGTGAGGTGCTGCCGAGCAAGGGGCTGGCCCCCCCCTTCAACGAAGAGACGTTGGCGCGGCTCTGTGTGCAGATGGGCCGCGCGAAGATGTACCTGAGGTCGGGCCAGGAGATCTCCATCCTGGCCCTGAAGGCCGCAGCTGTGGTGCAGCTCAAGGGGAGGGTGTCGCAGTCATGACCGAGGAGTCGGCCGTGGGCGAGTTCCGGAGCAATGGGTTCGCAGAAGGAGCGGTGCGAGACATCAAGGGTCTTGCGCGCGCGCTGCGGCGCGCGGCGGAGGAGCTGCACGGGGCGGTGTTCGGGTAGAGTCGTCCCGTGCTTCCCCGGCTTGTGCGGAGCGCTGGCTCGATGCCGAGCCGTGGCCAGCGGGCAGCCGATGGCATGGCGCCGTGCGGGCTGAGGACGGGCAGGGCGTTCAAGAAGCCACTGCCGGCCTTCACGGAGAAGGTCTTCTACTTCCTGCGGGCAAGAGGGCGTCGCGGCTGGTGGGCGGGTGGCTGGGGGGCATCTTCCTCGGGGTCGTGGAGGGCGCCGACGAGGTGTGCATCGGCGCGCCGAAGGGGGCCTTCCGGGCCCGCGGCGCGAGGCGCCTCCTGGGGCCCAGCAGGTCGGACAAGGTGCTGCTGGCCGAGATGCGCTGGGGCCCGGTCTCAGGAGGCATCGAGGGCCATCGTGCTCCTGACGGGGGCGGCGGCCTGGCGGCGCTGCCAGCGCGCGTGAAGATCGTGGCGGACCAGGTGGCGCCCGTCGCGCAGCTGCCAGAGGTGCCGACGCCGACGGTGCCAGGGGCGCCGAGGCGCGCTTACCTGAGGCGCGACGTCGAGCTGCAGAGGTACGGCTACACCGAGGGATGCTACGGCTGCATGTCGGCGGCCCTCGGGCGGCGCGCTCAGGCGCACTCGGAGGAGTGCGGGGGGCGCATTGAGAAGGCGATGGCATCGGACATGGATCTGAGCACGCGAGTCGAGAGCGCGAGGTCCAGGAGGGCCTCCCCCTCGGCGGAGGACCAGGCGGTTCCTGAGGCCACGAGGGTGAGAGACAGCCCGCCGCCAGGAGCCAGCGCAGCCGGTCTGGGTCAGGCCCTGGCGCCGAGTCCGCCCCGAGCGCTGCCTCAGGGTCAGGCGGCGCCGCGGCGGCGGCGGCCCCGCAGAGCATTGGGGTGGGCCAGCTTGCGATCGCGGGCGCCAGGCAGATAGGCGCCATTGCTGATGCAGCTGGGAGCCTTCGAGGGTGACGTCGCGGAGGTGTTCCACCCGGGTGAGTTCTGCAGGCTGGCGCCGTGCTTCGACCTGAAGCAGGTGGTCGCCATGGACTTGCGGACCGTCTGAGACTTCGACGACAAGAGCCGGCGCGAGCTGGCGATGCAGGAGATCACGGAGAGCAAGCCCATGTTCGTGGTAGCGAGCCCCGTGTGCACGCCGTTCTCGCTGATCTTGAAGATGGGCGAGAAGGTGCGTGACGAGGGGCGGTATCAGGCGCTGCTGAAGCGCTGCGTCGTCTACCTCGAGTTCGTGATGGAGATCTGCGCACTCCAGCAGCGCGAGGGCCGGTTCTTCTTGTGCGAGCACCCGTGGGCGGCCTGGAGCTGGCACCTCAAGATCGTCGAGAAGGTGCGGTTGCTGGAGGGCGTCATTTTGGTGAAAGGCTACCAGTGTCGCTTCGTGCAGACCTCGAAGGGGCCAGACGGGGTCGTCGGGCCGGTGGCGAAGGCGACGGGCTGGATGACGAACAGCCCGGCCATCGCGAAGCGTGTGGGGGTCCCGTGCACCAAGGACCACCAGCACGTGCACCTGGTCGGTGGCAGGAGCAAGGCGGCCGAGCGGTGCCCGATCCCGCTGGTCGAAGCCATCCTGGCCGGCATGCGTGAGCAGCTGGAGATCGGGCGCGGGCCCCACGCATTCGAGGTCGGCGTGGCGATCGAGGAACCGGAGGTTATTGAGGCGGCGACGGTGGAGGAATTCGAGGAGTTCTTCGATGGCATCTCGGGCGGGAGGCTGGACTCGAAGATGGCGCACGCGGCGCGAGCTGAGGAGATGGCCTACATGGAGAGGCTGGGCGTCTTCCGGCGTGTGCCGACGAGCGAGTGTCATGAGAACATAGGGACTCGGCCGCTGCCCAGCGGCTGGGTCGACACGAACAAGGGCGACGAGATCAGGCCAGAGATCCGCAGCGGGCTCGTCGCGAAGGAGACGCGGGGGCTCAGCGCGCTGGGCCCAGAGGATGCAGCGCAGACCTTCGCGGCCACGCCGCCGCTCGAGGGGCTGCGGCTGCTGCTCTCCCTGGCCATGTCGCGCAGAGCCTCGGGGGGCAAGATCCTCGTGTTCTTGGACATATCCAGGGCCCACCTGCACTCGGAGCTCTGGCGGCGCGTCTACCTGAAGGCGCCGGCAGAGGGCTAGAAGTGCGGGGGGGGGCGAGTGCTGGCTCCTGCTGAAGGCCATGCGCGGGCTGCGGGATGCTGGCGCGGCTTTCGACCTGAAGGTGGAGAAGGTCATGGAGGGGCTTGGGGCGCGGCAGGGGCAGTTCAGCCCGTGCGTCTACAGGATAAGGTCGCTGGTGACGTGGCGCCACGGCGACGACTTCGTCGTCTTCGGCGGGCGCTCGGAGGCGAGGGGCTTCGAGGCAGGCCCGGGCAATCGCTTGATCGTCGAGCGCCGCGGCGTCCTGGGCCTGGAGGCGAGCGAGGGCGACGTGAAGGAGATCGCGGTGCTCAACCGCATCTTGCGCTGGGCACAAGGCGACGGGGTCTCGCCCGACCGCGTCGAGCACGAGGCGGACCCTCGACAAGTGGAGATCGCGCTGGCGCAGCTCGGGCGCGACGGCAAGAGTAAGCCCGTCAGCGCGCCTGGTGTCGAGAAGGATGCGCTGAGCGGCGAGGAGCTGAAGGGGCGCGAGCGCGAGATGTACAGGTCCGCGTGCATGAGGCTGGCCTACCTTGCGCTGGACAGGCCCGACCTGCAGTTCAGCTCGAAGGAGGCGGCGCGCGTGATGCGGGCGCCGACCTTGGGAGGCTGGGAGGCGCTCACGAGGATGGGGCGCTACCTGCTGGGGGCTCCGCGGCTGGTGGCGATGTGCGCCAGGCAGCCGCCGCCGAAGATGCTGAGCATCTTCGCGGACAGTGATTTCGCGGACTGCGCGCGGACGAGGAAGTCCACCTCGGCTATGAGTGCGCTGTGCGGCTCGCACAGGAGCAAGTCGTCTTCGACGACCCAGCCGGTGCAGAGCCTCTCGACGGGGGAGGCCGAGTTCCACGCCCTGGTCAAGGGGGCCTCGGCGGGGCTTGGCCTGCGCGTCCTGCTGGGGGACTACGGCTGCGGCAACGTCGACGCGGAGCTGTGCTGCGACGCCGCCGCGGGCAAAGGTGTCGCGGAGCGGCGCGGCGTGGGGCGCATCCGCCATCTGCGCGCGCCCCTCCTCTGGATGCAGAGGGCTGTGCAGCGTGGCCTTGTGAAGATCAAGAAGGTGCCAGGCGCCAGCGACAGTGCGGACCTGGGCGCCAAGCATGTCGAGGCGACGTTGGTCGCCGGATCCCTCGCCAGCCTGGGCTTCGTCAAATGGCGGGGTCGAGCAGGTTGGCCCTGAAGGCGGCGCTGGGGTCCGCGTCTTGAGCCAGTTTTCCCGTGGATCGCCATGCTCCGCTACCGTTTTGAGATCCACCGGGCCTGGCGAGCCCAGCTGGCCCAGCCGGTCGACCATTTTGAGAGCGAGGCTTCGGGTAGTAAGGACTGCCGGAGCGAGCGGCTGCCGGGCACGCGAGAGGTGCTGGCCCGCCCCCCAACGCATCCGTAGCCCCTGGGAATCAGCATGTCGCGTAAGAGCGCCGCAAACGCCACGGGTTCAGATGCCCCAGACCCGGGAGGCCCAATCGTGCCAGGCGGTCCAGGTGCGGCACGTGCTCCACGTGCGCCCAGTGTTCCACGTGCTCCAGCCTGACAGATGCGCCAGCCACTGGGACCAATAGGGGCTCCACCTGCGTGCGCCGCAACTGCTGCTACGCCAGCAATTGCGCACGCCCCTGCGTGCGCTTGTGGCTGCTGGCCACCGTGCGCGGCCCCCCCCCCCCCCCTCGCCGTCCACGCATGAAAAACAAACGTGCGAGAAGGGCAGCAACTACTGATGTGTTATCGGTCGACCACCTGTGCCCAAAAGGCAAGTGGGATCTGCTTGCGCCACAGCCGTCCTTGTAAAGTACTAAAGCGAAATGGTCGGGGCGGCCGTGCATGCTCCAAATGTGGAGTTTTTTTTGTTTTTTTTTGTGTTGTTGTTTTTTTTTTTGTTTGTTGTTTTTTTTGTGTTTTTATATATATATATATATATGTATATATATATATATATATATATATATATATATATATATATATACACATATCCCCTCCCCTCTCCATACATACATATTATTATTATTAGTATTGTAGTGGCCTTCGGCCAGTGCCGCCGATCCGGGGCGCCACGACTGATGTGATCCTTCTTCGCCCTCGTCCCTCCTCTCTTTTTCCCTCCCCTCCTCTCACTCCGCATTTATCGAAGACGCCTACGGCGAATCACCGCCGCCCCCTGCCTTTGTGGAAGCGCCTATGTGGCCGAACGTTGAGGCCAGACCTGCCAAGCCATCGGACCATGTGTTCCCCGAATCGGTTTGGAAAGCCTTCGGGGAACACGTGGGCGTCTTGATGGTCATCGTCGCCGTCTTGGAGGCCTCTTGGGCGATCTTTCGGCGATCTTTGGGGGCTCTTGGGCCGTCTCGGGCCGTCGGAAGGCCGAAAAAAGGGAAATGCCCAAATCCATCAAAAACCTTGGGAAAATCAGTGATTTTGGCATCTTTTGGCCTTCCTGGAGGCCCTCTTGGGGGCCTCTTGGGCCCTTTTGGGCCAGCTTCGAGCCAACTTCGGCCATCTTGGTGGGTTCCTGGCACGTCTGACGCCGTCGGGAGCCGTTTTGGGGGCCTTTCTGGGCCAACGGGGGACCCTCTTGGGGCGCTCCAGGGCCGTCTTGGAGGCCATCTTGGGCGTCTTGGAGGCCATCTTGGGCGTGTTGGAGGCCTCTTGGGCCCTCTTGGGGCCCTCTAGGGGCCATCTTGGAGGCCACTTGGGCCATCAGGGGGCTCTCTTGGGGGCCTCTTGGGCGATCTTGGGGGCTTCTTGGGCCGTCTTGAGCCGTCGGAGAGCCGAAAAGGCGCAAATGCCAAAATCCTTCAAAAACCAATGGAAAATCAATGATTTTGGCCTCTTCGGACTCTCCTGGAGGACCTCTTGGAGGCCTCTTGGGCCGTCTGGGAGGCCTCTGGGGGGCCTCTTGGGCCGTCTTGGGCCGTCTTGGACTCTCTTGGGCCGTCTTGGAGGCCGTCTTGGACCATCTCGGGCGGACTTGGAGGCCATCTTGGGCCATCTTCGCGATTTTTTGAGGATGTCCCGAGCGAAACGGCCGTTCTTGGAGGATTTTTTGCGGTCGTTGAGCACGTTTGGGGAAATTCCGGGTGGCCGGCGGGTTCTGCCGGAGCCCACTGGGAAGTTCTTTTGGAAAAAGAACCAAAACCAAAACCTGAAACGTCCAGCACGCCGTGCACCCCTGCAAGCAGGGGGCGGCGGATCCAGTGGCCGTCGGCCTATCCCGCCACCGTGCGTGGGTGGTGGGTCAGAGGCCTCATGGATGCTGGTTGGGATCTCGTGGTTGGCTGGGACTTCTGGGGGCCTCTTGGGCGCCTCTTGGGGCTTCTTGGGGGCCTCTTGGGCCTCTTGGGGCCACTAGAGGGCCTCTTGGGGGTCTCTTGGGAGCCTCTTGGGGCTTCTTGGGGGCCTCTTCTGCGCCCCTTGGGGCCTCTTGGAGGCCTCCTCGGAGCCTCTTGGTGCGGGAGGGGTGGTACTCGAGTTCGGAACCCCCTCGGAGGCCACGATCCTTGTGAGGGGTGTCAAAAAACGCATCCGCCGGAAACTCGCCCCCCCCCCACCCCCACCCCCCCTTCCCCGGCAGAGCCACCCCGGCAACCCCCCCAGAGGCTGAGGCTCAGCCTCGAGGCTGTAGCTGAGACTCCTTGAAACTCACACGCCGGATCGGCGGATTATCGCTATTATCATGATTTTTCTCCACATGCTTCGTGGGGTTCTGGTTTTCTTCCCTGCCGCGCCGCACCCGCGTCTCCTCACACCTCCCCTCCTCTCTCTTTCTTCCTCCCCTCACTCACACACACACACACACTTCACTCTTCCCCCCTCGTCACAGCATTGCTCGGCTCAGCTCAACTCACCTCAGCACAGCACAGCTCAGCTCAGCTCAGCACAGCACAGCTCGGCTCAGCTCAGCACAGCTCAGCACAGCCCAGCACGGTTCAGCTCAGCACCTCACAGCACAGCTCGTGGCACTTTCTCGACACCACAGGGGGTGCGCAGGGGTTGGTCTCTCAGCTCGGCCGCTATCCACGACACTGGCGCAAAGCCTAGCAGGCGTGGCACTTTCTCGACACCACAGGGGGTGCGCAGGGGGTGGTCTCTCAGCTCGGCCGCTATCCACGACACTGGCGCAAAGCCTAGCAGGCGTGGCACTTCTCGACACCACAGGGGGTGCGCAGGGGGTGGTCTCTCAGCTCGGCCGCTATCCACGACACTGGCGCAAAGCCTAGCAGGCGTGGCACTTTCTCGACACCACAGGGGGTGCGCAGGGGGTGGTCTCTCAGCTCGGCCGCTATCCACGACACTGGCGCAAAGCCTAGCAGGCGTGGCACTTTCTCGACACCACAGGGGGTGCGCAGGGGGTGGTCTCTCAGCTCGGCCGCTATCCACGACACTGGCGCAAAGCCTAGCAGGCGTGGCACTTTCTCGACACCACAGGGGGTGCGCAGGGGGTGGTCTCTCAGCTCGGCCGCTATCCACGACACTGGCGCAACAGGCTGGTCGCAACAGCGTCTCGTGGCACTTTCTCGACACCACAGGGGGTGGGCAGGGGGTGGTCTCTCAGCTCGGCCGCTATCCACGACACTGGCGCAAAGCCTAGCAGGCGTGGCACTTTCTCGACACCACAGGGGGTGCGCAGGGGGTGGTCTCTCAGCTCGGCCGCTATCCACGACACTGGCGCAAAGCCTAGCAGGCGTGGCACTTTCTCGACACCACAGGGGGTGCGCAGGGGGTGGTCTCTCAGCTCGGTCGCTATCCACGACACTGGCGCAAAGCCTAGCAGGCGTGGCACTTTCTCGACACCACAGGGGGTGCGCAGGGGGTGGTCTCTCAGCTCGGCCGCTATCCACGACACTGGCGCAAAGCCTAGCAGGCGTGGCACTTTCTCGACACCACAGGGGGTGCGCAGGGGGTGGTCTCTCAGCTCGGCCGCTATCCACGACACTGGCGCAAAGCCTAGCAGGCGTGGCACTTTCTCGACACCACAGGGGGTGCGCAGGGGGTGGTCTCTCAGCTCGGCCGCTATCCACGACACTGGCGCAAACCTAGCAGGCGTGGCACTTTCTCGACACCACAGGGGGTGCGCAGGGGGTGGTCTCTCAGCTCGGTCGCTATCCACGACACTGGCGCAAAGCCTAGCAGGCGTGGCACTTTCTCGACACCACAGGGGGTGCGCAGGGGGTGGTCTCTCAGCTCGGCCGCCATCCACGACACTGGCGCAAAGCCTAGCAGGCGTGGCACTTTCTCGATACCAAAGGGGGTGGGCAGGGGGTGGTCTCTCAGCTCGGCCGCTATCCACGACACTGGCGCAAAGCTTGGCAGCCGTGGCACTTTTTCGACACCACTTTCGCGGCCGCCACCCACGCCACCACCTCGAATCTGTCCTCGATGGAGGATAGAAGGCTGGGAAGAGGGAGGAGGGTCAAGCAATTTGGCGTTGGATGACCCATATGGAACATTCGCGACGAGGGTTCAGAACGCAGGATTGTGCATATATATATATATATATATTGTACATAAGCAAACACATCATATTTAAATTAAGTATGCCGGGTTCCTCGGTAGCGTTATTATTATTATTATTATTATTATTATTATTATTATTGTTATTATTATTATTATTATTATTATTATTATTATTATTATTATTATTATGATTATTATTATTATTATCATTTATTATTATCATTATTATTGTCATTATTATTATTATCATTATTATTATTCTTATTCTTATTATTATTATTATTATTATTATTATCATTATTATTAAGTATTATTATTGTTATTATTATTATTAATAATAATACTAATATTACTATTACTATATTATGTTTTTTTGTATGTGTTTTGTTTGTGTGACAGGGATAGTGTGTGTGTGTGTGTGTGTGTGTGTGTGTGTGTGTGTGTGTGTGTGTGTGTGTGTGTGTGGGGGAGGGTGGCCCTTATGGTTGTGGGTTGACCGCCGGCGGGGTTGGAGAGGGGGTGTATATTGATGGGGAGCAGTGACAAACCCCTTCCCGAGCAGGGGAAGGAAGGTGAGAGGAAACATAATCGTTAAACCACTTACGCCCGGAAGGCTGGTGGGATTCAGAATCGGCGCTGGTATATCCCTGGTCGAAAAACATTTTGATCCGGCATAAGCCCGATCAATTTTGCACAATCTGGGATGCTTCGGCTTAGTCGGGATTCGTTTCGCTTGACATGGCTGGATCCGACTTGATCCCAGGCTTCATCCGGCCTCATCCGGCTCAGTGGCCCTTAAATCGGGCTTAGTGGCCATTCGCCAGCCTTGCGAAGACCTCCCAGGAGCTGCTTCCATTGTGCGGAAGATCCGTTTCCTTTCGTCGTTCGCGTTGTTTTCTTCTCAGAGGAGCAACACGGACCACCGCCGCCGAGAACATCGTGGGGGGGCCGACCCCTGGGCGGTGGCACGCCCGAGCGTCGTCCTGTGCTTTCGGCGACGCTCGGGCGTGCTACTGCCCGGGGGTCGGCCCCCCCCACCGATGGGTTCTCGGTGGCGGTGGTCTATGGAAAAGGAAAGGCCGAAAGGAAAGACAACGAGAGGGAACGGTAGAGAAGGCGCCAACGACACCCCTCCCCGACCTCGTCGTTCATGTTGTCCTCCTCCTCTTTCTCCTCGGCTGCAGAAGCGCGGCCCCGAGGCGCCCGCGGTCGAGGCCGCCCCGGCGGCCGAGGCGCCCTGGGTGGGAGGTTTCGAGCGAGGGTGCACCCTGCCCCTCCTCCCCTCATCCCCGTTGGTTCAAATGAGGGAAACAGGTACCGATACCGCTACCCTTCTCTCGGTTTCCCTGTTCGGGCCTCCCAGGACCTCCTCGTTGCCACGGCCAGATTCGCCTTGCAACTTTAGTCATAATGCATCCCAGGGAGAGGTCCGGGGAGCAGCGGTGTCGGTACCTTTCGGTTTCCCCAGAGATGTTCGAGCATGGAACCCTTTGTTGACCGCAGCTGTCCCGCTATCTCGCCGTAAAGACCGCATGAATCCGCCAGAACCGACGAGGGCGGCCGAATACCGTCAAGAAGGGCCGCCGCAAACCGCCGAATGTCGCCGAAGGCCGCCCAGGGCTGGTGCGCAACAGGGGGTCCGTCGTCGAATGCGCGACCCTCTCTAGTCTCAAGTCGGGCATGTCCCTCTGCAGGAGGAATATTCGAAAGTAGTAAACGAATCGTAGGTTTGAGTAAAACCGTGGGTTTAAATTCCGCGAGGCACGTCTGGAGCGTTGCTCCCAGCCTGGTCCCCTCCTCGGTGCCCGTCCCCTTCCCCCTGTCTCTGCAATTCTTTTGGGTCGAGGCGCATTGCCTGGCCCGGGCGGCACAGCGTGGCCCAACCGCGCGCAGGGGCGCGGGCACGGGCCGCGGTGGAGGCTGCAGTCGCAGGGCCCCGCGGCCCTGGCCCGGGCTGCTGCGGGCGCGGGCGCGGGGGCGCCCCGACGGCTCGCAGAGGCACGGGCCCGCCGCGGCGAGCAGCGGAGCCTGGAGGAGACAGGCGCGATTGCCCCCCCCCCCCTCACACCACACCACACCCGCAGCGGCGGGACAGGGGTGCGCTCTGGAGGTTTGGATGCCGGCAGGGGTCACGGCGTGGCTCATGATCAGCGCCTCGCTGATGGCCGCGACGGGCATCGGCTGGTGGAGCGACGCCGGCGCCAGGCCCAGCAAGCAGCGCCCAGGACACCGCGGAGGAGCTGCCGTCCCTCCCCACGACCGGGCGCGGGTGGGCAGGCGGCGTTGGCGGCCAGTGCGCAGCGCCCGAGCTGCCGGGCCCCACGGCCGCCTCCCTTGCTGGCGCCGACCCCCGAGCCCGCCGAGCCCGAGAGCCGGGCGCGCCAGTGCGGCTGGGCGGCGGGGGGGGGCCCGGCAGGCGGGGAGGGCCCTCTTCGGCTACGCGCTGTACCTGCTGGACTTGAGTGGCGAGATGGTGCTCGGAGACGGCTGGCGGTCAGTCAAAGGGGTGGCAACCGCGATCGTCAGCTTCCTGGGCTTCGCCGTGCTGTTCTGGACGCTGGACTGGATCCTGTGGCCGCTCTGCTGGGCCATGTCCGTGGTGAGCCGCTGTCGCCGACGGTGCCGCCGAGCCACAGGGAAGGAACTGGTCCGCCCCCGCGAGCTGGAGTGGCGAGGGCCGAGCGTGGCTCGAGAGGTGGACCCCGAGTTCCTTCGGCTTCGGACTCGAGGTTGGAACGCAGCCAGGCAACCCAACCACATCGTTGTGGCGTTCGACGAGGGCACGGCGCGCCTGGAGGGGGGTCGGCAAGTGCAAGGCGGCGAGCCAGCACGGGGCCTGCTACCAGTACGGCTCCGTCGTCAGCGCCAGCAGCGGGATGCTTCGGCGGCGGCTTGAGGACGGCGACGCCGCGACCAGAGCCGTCCAATCTGCCGCGTCCAGTCTTGCGTGGACGTCGCGCTGGACATCCAGGACGACGCGTGGAGGTCGCCCCTCTGGCACACCTGCGCCCTGGTCGCGGGAGCCGCGTGGGCCGCCCAAAGGCTGTCCCTGGTCGGGCTGAGGAGGGCTTGCTGCCGCTGCCGGTGGCGGCGTCGCCGCCGCAGCCGGCAAGCTCAGGCCGCCACGTGCGCCCGCGAACCCCTCGGAGAGCGAGGCGGAGGCGGCGCCGTGCTGGGCCGACGGCGTGGCATGGGCGGGGCCGCAGAGCCACCCCGCGCCCCTCAGTGCGAGCATGCTCGGAACCCGCGGCGGTGCAGCAACTGCTGGTCGCGGAGTGTGGGGCGATGGCGGCTTCGCTCTGCCGGTGCCACAGCCTCCAGTACACGGGGGCCCGCCACGCGCTCGGGTGCGCCCGGGGCGGATGCTGGAGGACGAGCGCAACCGTCGGCACGGGGGGCCAGCAGGTTTGCGCGGAACACGGCGACAGAGCAGCAGAGGCGCCCGCCCGCGCGCCAGGGGCCGGTCCCGCGGGGCGGAGCTGCGCGGTGATCCGGGCGCCCGCCGCGCCCCAGCGTCACGCGTGTCGGGGGCCCAGCAGAGCGTCTCCCCTGCCCGCCTTGCCCCCGACGGAGGGGCGCCGCCCGCCAGGTGGTGCCAGGCCGTGCATCGCGTCGATCCCAGAGTGCGCGGGCTCCCGCCCGCCCGCGCTGAGCCAGCCCAGCCCGCGCCATGGCTGGGCAGCCGCGCCGCCGCCGCCGGCCCCCGCGGCCGCGGTGCCCGACCGCCCGTTCGTGCTGGGCAGCCTGGCGCCTCCTCGGGTCGCTGGACCTCCCAGGCCCGGCCCCGTCGCGGGGCCCGCGCCAGCACGGGCGCCTCGCCTCAGACCCAGCGCGGGGGCAGCAGCCCGGCACCAGACGCCCCCCTGGGGGGTCGGGATGGGAGGCTTCGCCGGGCTGGTCAGCCAGCCCCGCCCACCCTGGGCCGACCGCGCTGGGGTGGGCGAGTCGGAGCTCGCAGACGCTGTGGGGGCCGCGCTGAGTGCGCAGCTGGAGCCCGCCATCCGAGGCGGCCTCGCCCCCCCCAGCAGCGTGCTGGAGAGCATCCGCGGTCCTGCGGAACGAGGGCGACATGCGGCTGGCTGAGGGGTCGTTCGGGCACCTGCGCGGACGCGCTCGCTGGTGGGTCTTCCTCGCCTTAGGGTGCGACCAGCTCGCGGTGGGGGTGTGCGAGGGCCTGCTCGGGCGGGACCTCTACCGCGGACTTCGTCGGGTGGGGGGTGGCGCTCGGGCGTTGCTGGCGCTCTCGAAGTGGCCTGCGCCCATCAGCGCGCGGATCGCCTACGGGTTCGCGGCGGTCTTGCAGGGGGCCCGCGGCCTCAGATGAGCGCCCGAGTGGGCCCTCGCGGCAGCGGACTTCCGGCCCGTCACCCAGGAGGCGCCCAATGACTTCGCTCCCAACAGCGGGCACCAGCGGGAGAAGAAGCCCATGGCGCCGCGGACGATGGCCCAGTGGGTTCGCTGCGCCGACAACCTCTCGCGGGCCGTCGCGCTAGTCTACGGGCCGGAGCATGCGGCCGAGCGGTTCGAGGTCCGGAGGGCACTCGAGAAGGTGCATGAGGACAACCACCGCGAGTGGCCTCGCGAGGAGGCGTGGGCCTGGGAGGGGCTCAGCTGGCGGTGGAGGGAGGAGCCGAAGCAGAACCGCCGCTCTGCTGCGGGCCATGGGCGCGGACAACCCCTCCAAGCAGACCCTGGATTGGTTTGCCGTCGCCCGCGGCCCGGGCGGCCGAGTGTCTTCCGCGCGCCCGCGACCAGGGGCCTCGAGCTGCTGGGCGGGTACTTCCAGATGGTGGCCCCCCCAGGAAGCAGAGGGAGTTTGCGAGGGGCATGCGGGGATTGGTCCGCGAGCAGCCGCGCGCCGCCAAGGCCGGCGACGCGGCGGAGGGGGCGCAGCGGCTCGGAGGAGGGGCATGGCGGAGGGCGAGGCGTCGATGCGGGCGCCAGGCCAGCGGCCCCCCCCGCGGCCGAGGCCAGGCCCAAGGGGCCCCCGTCCGCCAACCCCAGCCTGGCGGGCAAGCGCCTTGCGGCTTGGGGGGCGCCGGGCGCCATGACATCTCCACGCGCCAGGGGTGCGAGAAGAGTGCGAAGGACTGCCCCCGGAGCCGCCGCCAGATCACCGGCGCGGCGGGACTGGCGTACGTGGGAGTGCTTGGCCCGGCTGATCCGCCGGGGTGGCTCGCGCAACGGCCCCCCCGCCCCTTCTGGAGAGGTGGGCGCGAGGGTGGAGCGGCTTCGAGCGCAAGGCAAGGCGGAGAAGACCGCCGAGAGGGCGGGTTGGGGCAGCCAGCGCCCAAGGACGAGGCGGCGCACTGGCTCCAGGGGAGTGCCTCTGGTTCGACGCGCAGGGGCGCGAGGAGACCGTCCAGGACTACAGGTCGGGGCCCGACTACGCGTGGCTGGGGGGCCATCGCCCAGCGCGGCGGCCCACGCCCGTGGCCCCTGTGGCCCCCCTCCTGGCGGCCATCGGGCTCGCCGCGCGGATTGAGGCTTCCCCGCTGGACTCCCAGCCGGCGCGGGTCGCGGCAGTGGCGGCGTCGGTCCCGTCCTCTTGGTTCGCCGCGGTTCACGGGCGCCTCGGCGACCTCGCGCCTCCCGCGTATCCGATGTGAACCGAGCGCGACCATGGCCTCATCCCAGGGACCTGGGCGACGTTCGAGCGTGGCGCCCCCTTCCTCCGGGGGGTGGCCGCCTCGCCCTGGGGCAGAGTGGCCAAGCTCAACCCAGACAGGGCGATCAGCCCAGACGGCCGCTTCGTGCATGATCAACGGACGGCCAACCTGACCGGCAGCAAGTGCGATCACCCGCCTGCGCTGCAACCTCGGCACGCGCGACATCTCGGACGCCTTCAAGTGGATGTGGGTCCGGGACGAGGATGTGGGTCTCCTCGTGGGCGAGCTGGCAGGCCACTCGGTGGGCCTCCGAGGCTCGGTGGTGGCCACGTCCCTGGTCCTAGCGTTCGGGTGGATCGGCTCCCGGGGGATGCATGGTGCACGGCTGGGGCATTGGGGAGCTCTTCGAGGCGTGCGGGCCCCAGGGCCCTCAGTGGAACGACGCGCCGGCGTTCCATTCCTCGTGGACGACGACATCCTGGTGGAGCCGCTGATCGGCTTCCGACCCTGGCAATCCGCATCGACGTTGGAGTTGCGCGCGGAAGCTCCTCGGGCACGGCGCGATCAACGAGGCCAAGAAGATGCAGGAGGGGGCCTTCGGGCCCGTTTAAAAATGATCTAGGGCTTGTACATCGACGCCGAGCGGGAAGTCGTCGGGCTGCCAGAGGTGAAAGTGGCGAAGGTCCGAGGCCTGATCGTCGACCCAGTCTTTGACCCGCGCAAGCGGTGTGTGTGTGTGACCATCCACAGCCTGCTGGTCCTGCGCGGTCTCCTTCAGTTTTTCTGTATCGCATGCAGCGCGCTGCGCCCAGCGCTGGGAGCCATCTCCCGCCTGCTAGCCACCGGCGACCCAGACAGGAGGATGGCGGACCCGGAGAGCAGCGAGCTGGAGGGGAGGCTGACGTGGGCCGAGTTCGACGCGGCGCTGGAGACGGTGAGGGTGTACACGGAGGCTCCGGAGACCTCGGGGTCGCACTTCGCGTCGGGCTCGATGGACCTCTCGACCCCGCGCGAGAGGCCGGCCCTGCCCGGCGACCTGGAGCGCCTCGTCTGGACGGGGGGGGGGGGGCAGCGCCCTTCATGCCCTCGGCTGCGTCGACTGGCGCGCGAAGGGGTGCGGCGTGGTGCCAGTCGCCGAGATGGCGGGCGCCCTGCAGGCCTGCGCGGGCGAGGAGCAGCAGGAATTGATCGGGAGCTTCAGCGCCTTTTCCTGTTGCCGGCATCCCTGATGGAGGCGTGGGGCGGCCGCCTGGTGCTCTGCGTCGCCGACGACGAGGACGCGGGGATCTGTCTCGCCAAGCGGCGCGCTGGCAACAGGCTTGCCGGGCACGCGTTGCGGGTGCTTCAGCTGTCTGAGACGCGGGGCAACTTCCAGATCGTCGCAGCGGGCATCTGGACGAAGCGCAACTTTTCGAGGGACTTGACCACGCGCGCCACGCAGCAGGTCGTGCATCGATGGCTGCCAGGGGCTTCAGGAGATCCCCCTCCTGGAGCAGTGGATGCGCGCTGTTCGCCGAGCTGGAGCAAGGGGGCCCGCTCGTGCCAGCGGGCCAGCCCTGTCTGGAGAGCCTGCTAGACGCCCCCCCCCCCTGGAGGCCTTCGAGAGGTGGACGAGCCCGCTGGGGCTCTCGCCCCGGGAGGGGCCCTCTGCGCGGCCCTCGCAGCAGACGCGGGAGGCGAGGAGATCCACCGCCTGGCCCTCGTGGCTCAGTGGACCGCCCCTGCCCTCGCGGTGGCAGACGCGACCCGCGAGCAGCCCTGGGCGAAGGCGCTGGCCCCCTCGAGGCGCGCGGGTGCGCGGTCGCCCGCCGCCCCATCTTCGCCGCCGGTCTCCGGGAGGCCCGCGCTGGAGTCGGCCTCGACGCGGTGGGGGACTTCGTGCGGGAGGCGCTGGCGGCGTGGCTTCGGGCCGGCCTCGGGCCAGGGCCCAGTGCGCCTTCCAACCGTGGCCGGGGCCCTGGGGGAAGCATCGCCGTGGTACCCGTGGGCCCGCCGAGTGCCGCGGGCCTTCGGGCTGCTGACGGTGTGAGGCTGGGAGAGCGCGCCATTGTTGGAGGGGCGATGCGGGCAGGGCTGCAGGTGACAGGAAGGGCGGCGTGTTGGCCCGGGCATGGTGGGGGGCAGCTCGAGGAGCACCCCGCAACCCTGCCCCCGAGCCAGGGGCATCCGCGAGGAGGTGGAGCCAGGAGTGGGCCGCGGAGGCGGAGGTGCTGCCTGCGCGGGACAGGAAGGCCGCAGCGGGCAAGCAGACCGCCCTCGCGCGTATGCGGGACTGGCAGTGGGTCATCAAGCCAGGCGGCCGTGCGGAATCGCGGTGATGAGCCATATCAGGATGAGCAGGCCGAGGGCGCCCGCGAGACTCCCCGCGCCGCGCGCGGGCGCGGGGGCGCCGGGCGCTCCCCGCGTGTGGCGCCAGGGGTGCGAGGCGCCCGCGGCCGACGGGCGCGAGGCTTGCCCGCGCGGGGGGGGCCCGGGCCGAGCGGTCGCAGGGGAGGGGGGGCGTGAAAGGCGCGGAGGCGTTCGTGAAGGCGCGTTCGTTCTGCGACCCGTTGGAGATCGGCCGGGCGGGCCCAGGGGGGCCTCCCCAGGGGCCCGGCGTGGGGGGGGGCGCTGCGGCGAGGGCCGCGAGAGTGCCAAACTGGAGTTCCCGATGGCGAAGCTGTCGACCGGCGCGAGGGTGGGCCACGACAGCGCCTGGAGGTAGTGGGCATTCTTCTGCAGGGCGCGGGGGCGGGGCGCTTGCCTGCTAGGTGGCGACGCCCGCGCCCAACGTTGAGATGAGGGGCTGATCCTAGACTTCGTCGTCCATACGGTGCAGAACTTCCACCGCGCGGAAGGGGCCGTGAAGGCCAAGCTGTTTGGCGTGCGCATCCACCGCCTGGCGGTTGGCCTGGGGGGCTCGCTGCTTCTGGCTGGCGTGCGCGGGGTCAAGCGCCTCCAGGGCGGCGCGGCTCGCGAGTTCCCGGTGACGCTGGACGCGCCCCAGTGGCTCTGCGAGCGCCTGCAGGAGGACCTGGGCGACAACGCCACGGAGTGGGCGGCGCTGGCGGTGGCGTTATTCTTCCTCCTCGGGGCCAGGGGGCACGTGGCGGTGGGCGGGCCCCCCCGGCATGTGGGCCGAGCGCTGCGTGGCGCAGACGTCCGGCCAGGAGGAACGGTGTAGCCCAGGACAGGTTCGAGGGAGCCGACGTGGTAATCGCCCACGTGCGAGGCTCGAAGACGGACCAGTACAACCAGGGCACGCTGCGCAACGTGTACTCCACCAGCCAGCGGATCGACCACGTGGCGGCGCTGGCTGGGCTGCAGCGCCTGCGCCCCGCGCCCCGAGCGCTGGCAGCAGGAGAAGGAGCAGCCCCTCGCCCGCCTGGCCTCTGGCCGCATGCTGAGGAGGTCGAGGGCCCAGGAGCCCCTCTCGCTGGCGGCGAGCGCCTGCGGGATCGACCCGACGAAGACGGGCAGCCGCAGTCTTCCGCATAGGAGGGTCAACGGCGCTCTACTACAAGACGGGGGTGGACATCGAGACCATCAGGAGTATCTGCCGCCGGTCCAACAGCGTGGTGCGCGCCTACCTGTGGGGCGCGCGTTGGCGGTAGAAGGGCGTGGCCGCCAGAGTGCTGCAGCCCGACGGGATGCTGGTCGGTGCAGGCACGGCACCAAAGGGGTATTGCGAGGGCCCCAAGGGAGCCCGCGCCAGCATGGCGCGGGGGAGGCTGGCTGGCGCGAAGCCATGGGCGTGCCATGAGGATGAGGAGGTGGAGGTGCCCGAGGGTGTGCCGCGCCCCCCGCCCTCGGAAGGCCCGGGGAAGTTCTGCCAGCGCGGGCCCCGGGCAGCACGGGGCGCGGCGGCCCAGAAGAGAGAGAGGGAGTCCAGTGCCAGAGCACTGGCAGGTGGTGTGAGCGGAGGTGCTGCTTTGCCCGTCGAGTGGCGCGCGGATCGTGAATGTAGTTTTGTGTGGCGGCGGGTCAGGACTGATGCAGCGTCGGAGCCGGCACCAGTCGAGGCGCAATCCCGCCCTCCACACCCGCGCCTCGTTCGAGCTTAGGCTGGTTCGCCCGCGGCGGCGGGACAGGCCTGACACAGCGTCGGAGCCGGCACCAGTGCCAGAAAACATCGGAGATTTACATGGAGCGCTCCGCGCCCTAGCACGTTCCAGCCTGGCGCGTAGTGCTCCCCAGTCTGTATACAGTTGAGTTAGCTGATGAGGCATTCAAGTCGTCAGTTTTTTTGGAGATATATATATGGTAAAAATATTCATAATACACATAATCATATATATGTATATATGTATACATATGCAAATATGTATGCATGTATGTATGTATGTATGTATGTATGTATGTATGTATGTATGTATGTATGTATGTATGTATGTATATGTATGTATGTATGTATCTATGTATATATGTATGTATGTATATAGCTATATATGTATATATGTATATATATATGTATATATATATACATATCTGTTTTTGCTGATTGGTCTGATCTTCCAACATCCGCCTGTAGGAGGAAATGCCCGACGCAACCCTAGTCGGAGGGAATGATGGGGATGCTCGAAGAAGGAGCAATGGCACAGGTGCAGACTTTTGGGGCTTCGCGCGGGTTTGTCGGATCCGCGCTGGTGCCCCCCCTGGCTGGGCCTGCGGCGCCGCCCCTCGCGCGCTCCGCGCGCCAGGGAGGCGGGGTCAGCGCAGATCCAAGAAATCCGCGCGGACATCAGAAAGTTTAAGTTTCCGATGTTTCTTCTCATCCCAGTCAGACGAGCCGAAGAGGTCATGATACTGACTCGTTACCAGGGCTCCAAGATTTTCAGTATCTGCAGGACCACCTGCTGTTCCACGCGGGCTGCAGAACCGAGGGCCGCTAGAGATACTCCAGAATACTTGGAACGTGTCCTGAGCCAATCGTATCCTGAGTGGGCCCCGGCGAAGCGAACCCATGCGAAGCGAACCACGGGTGAAGCGAGCCACGGGCGAAGCGAACCCCGGTGAAGGGGACCCCCAGCAAAGCTCACCCAGGCGAAGCGAATCCCAGCGAAGGGAACCACTGGCGATGCGAACCTCCAGCGAAGCGAATCCCGGCGAAACGAATTTCGGCGAAGCGAAACGAGCGCAGCGAAACGGGCGAAACGATGCCCGGGCGAAGCGGACTCGCGCCGTCCGTCCTATCCAGGGGTCCCCTTTTCCTTGCCCTGTGAAGCAGAAGCATGACGACGGATCTCTGGTCATTCGAAGCCCCAAGGGGCCCACGCCGTGCCATGCACCCCCCTGGAAGAGTGATGCAAGTTTTTGTAGGTCGCGTCGAAGAATTTCGGCCACGCGCAGGTGTGGGTAGGGGGAGGGGGGAAGGCTTCTTGGAAGCAACCCTGCTTCTCAGAAGGCGCGGGCCTTCTCTATAGATGTAAGTCCGTCGCCTTCTAAGAAGCAGCCTCTTTCTAAGAAGCCTTCCCCCCTGCCCCTACCCCCTTGTGCGCGCGGCCAAGAATCGTTTGGGGGGCACCCCTGGAAGTAGTTTTTCACTCCGGGTCCGTTTCTGACGGTCCCGGGGCCTGTAAAGGGCCCCCTTGGGCCAGAAACGGCGAAAAACCGAAGGCGACGAAAACAAATCAGCCTGGCGAAGGACCCAACCATGTGCATTTGTGAGTACCGCAATGCAGGTGGGCCGAAGGAGGGGGAGCCTTCTATGGGACCACGATCGAATGGGCGATCGAAATGGGCGAGGTCAGGCATACGAACTTTTTCATGTCGGCCGAACTCCCTGTGGGTCCTGAAAAACGTGTCAGGGGCCTGCGAAATGAGCGTGATCAGGGCGAGCGAAATGACGAACACAGCCCACGACTGCATGCTGACTAGTTCATTTTTGCTTCTTTGGAGCCCCGATGGGGCTTGAAAAGCGTGGCCTGAGGGAGCGAATTGAGCCCACGACTGCATGCGAACTTCTTCATTTCGGCCTGATGGAGCTCCAAAGGGGCTTGAAAAGCCCGGGAGGGGCGAGCGAAATGAGCCCGCGACTGCATGCGAACTTTTTCATTTCGGCCGTCGGTGGAGCTCCTGTGGGGCTTGGCAAGTCCGGTAGGGGCGAGCGCAATGAGCCCGCGGCTGCACGTGAACTTTTTCATTTCGGCCTTCAGTGGAGCTCCTATGGGGCTTGAGAGGCGCGGCAGGGGTGTGCCAGGGCAGAGGCAGCAGGAGGGAGGAGGGGGAGGAGGACCAGGACACGGGGCGCTGCTGATTCACAGCGAGGACCCGACACCACAGGATGCTTGGGAACAAACCGACGATAAAGCTGCATTGCCTTTCCAGGGCAGTGCGGGACCGTCAGAAAACGAACGACCCAGGGAGAGAGGCCAGCCCCTGGGAAGTGGCCCAGCCCCCCAGGGGGCAGACGTTGTGGAACATCACGGCGTCGGAGTTCTCGGGGGGGGGGCGGAATGGCGGGGGGATTGGCCCGAGGCAGGCAACATCGACCCCCGAGATCTCCCATTCCTCGCCGAGCGGGGCGTTGGCCCCTGCTTTGCCAGGGAAAGTCGTCCAGTCTTGCTCTATCGGGGGCCTGACGCCGTGCCTCGGCGGCGCATCGCTGGTTCCAGATCGATTGCCAGTCCCCCCGAAGCCAGTACCCTCCCGTCGCCCCCTCCGCTCCCAGGAGGTCTCCAGATGTCTCATGGGAGGTTCCCAGAAGCATCGAGAGGTTCCCAGAGGCCTCTGGAGGCCTTCGGGGGGCCTCCA